TATATATATATATATATATATATATATAAAGCTTCTCTTATCCTCGTGCAACTCGACGTTCTTATTTTAAAAATTCTATTTAAATGCTAATTAAAAGACCCATATTATTCAAATAATGACAAATGCAATAAAAAATAATAGTAAATAATAATAAATAATAAATAATAAATAATAAATAATAAAGAATAAATAATAATAACAATAATAATTAAAAATAAAAATAATAATGAGTTGAGCCAGTAAAAAAGCAGAAAAAAAAGGTTATTTCTTTATGCCTTCTTCATGTATCGAGCATACACAGTAGAGAAGACAAAACACCCCAGCAGCAGCACCAACAGCAGCAGCAGCAACTTGCAGCAAAAATTTGTTGGGCTCTGCTCCTTCATAAACTGCCTAAGACGATTATCCAACTCCTGCAGCTCTGTTGCTGCCTGCTCCGTTTGCTGCTGTAAATCCTCTACTCGCTCGCGCTGCAGCTCCGACTGTTCACCTATCGTCACTGCAACTTCCGCTGCAGCAACAATAGCAACAACAGCAACAACAGTAACAGTTGCAGCAGGAGAAGGTGTAGCAACAGCAGCAGCATGAGCAACAGCAGCAGCACTCCACAGGACTGAGCAGTTATCTCAGCAGCAGCACGAATACCAACATGGACAACACAAACAAACTGCAACAGCAGCAACAGCAGCAACAGCAATAGCAACGGCAGCAGCAACACAACAAAACACCGGTCCAATGGACTATCCGTGCAAAGCTATAAAAACACGACAAACAAAACAAGAAAAAACAAACAAAAATGAACAATCAAAACAAATATAGAAAAGGAAAGAAAAAGAAAAAAAAACAAAGGCAACAAGACAAGGGGAAAACAACATTCTTTTTTTTTTTAGTTTTTTATAGAATTTGCAGAGACAAGGCAACAACTGCCGCAGTAGAAAAACAGCAAAAAGAAATCCCCCATTTAAATAAAATGATTTATGTGTAGAAAATATAAACAATTAATAAATTAATTGAAAATAAATACCTTAATTTAAACAAATTCATTACAAACTCAACAGCATATATAGCATCAAGTTATCACCCCCCCCTCCTTATCTACCCTTAATAAATAGGACATTTAAACACTCTTAAAGAGGCTAAGGAGCTACACTAGTTCATCTAAACGAATATAATAAAAGTACAATTGAAATATTTAATTAAATTACCTATTCTATCAATTGATTTCCCTATTTCTTCAACCTTAGCATCGAAAACTTTGTCTCGTTCTGCCCATCTCTTAAGCACCGCCTCGTCTTCTTGTGTTAGTTCATAAGTGCCTCCTGTACCTGCGTTGCTGCTGTTGTTATTGTTGTTGTAATTATAATTGTTTTCTTTGTTTATGTTGTTTGTGCCGCTGCTGCTGCTGTGACTTAACATTAAATCCTTCAAAGGCACCGCCGATTGCTGCTGGCTATCCGAGTCAAAGGCAGCAGGCGCCCCTTTGCTTAGTCGGTGTACAGCTTCAATTTGTCTAGAGAGCGCATAAACAAAGAAATAAAATAACAACAAACATTAAATAAAAGGATCAAAAATGATGGCAACCAATATGCACGAGGGTGAGGGAGCAAGCAGAGCCAGCAATAAAACTAAGAACAACTAGAGAGAACGCGCAAGGTTAAAGAAGCAGAGAGGGCACATTAAAGCCATTAAACCAGCTGAGAAGGGAGAAAATAAGCGAAAAAAAGTAGAAAAAGAGAAAAAAAGAATAAAAAGGATGATTCAAGTATAAAAATAAGTGATGGTCACCTTAGAAGAGTATTAAGTTGCATATGTCTTCTCTCCATTTCTTCTTCTGTTAGTTGTAGCTTTTTACTATTTTTATGTTGTTCAACAAATATTCTTCCGAGTTGTTGAAATTTTTGTTTTAAATAAGCAATATTGTCATTAATGGCGCTGCGTTTGGCAATTGCCTCATAAGTCATCCCTGCAAAGGGCAGGAAACACCAAAAGTTGCTTTTTCTTAGATTACATATTGTAATCATGCCCAGTAACCACCATCAACAGCAACAACAGCAGAAACGCAAGGAAGAGCAGCAGTAGCAGATGCAGTAGCAGATGCAGCAGCAGATGCAGCAGCAGATGCAGCAGCAGATGCGGCTGCTCTCCTGGCATGAGGAGGTACGGGGGGTTATCTAAGCAGTCAGGAGGTTGAAGCACAGCGGGCACTTAAGAAGAATAAGAGAAATGCCGCAAATCTAATAACAGAGGAACAAAAGGGAGGAAGGAAAAATCGAAAAAAAGGAAAAGAAAAAGAACGAGACAAAGAAAGAAAGGCAGATATATTATATATAT